GGGAAGTTTACTGCCTCGCACTAACCATACACAAATAAAGACAAGCAGTAACCTTATTATAGTCCGGGAGGTAGTGTCACTTTTTTATTAGTGATTTATCTCCGACTCAAATGTGATTTATTGAAGAGTTTCATCATTACTGTGATCAAAATTGAAAGTCAGTCAGCGCGACCGCGGTGGGTGTGAGTGTGGGAGGTTGTGGAACTCGTTGGAAAAGCTATGAAACAAAAGTAAATAATCTGCACATGAAAATTTGTTAGAATGTTAGTTATTGATAATTAAACGTGAAAATATTCGTCAGTCACGCTTCCGACAGGGGAAACATTATCAGTCAGAGGTTTGAAGCAGTCGGAAAAGTTGGAAAATTCAAGTGACCGATCTTCACTTGAAATTTTATGGATTGATTATTTGATTCAAATCAAGCATGAAAATGAAAGAGTCAGTTTCCAAATGTTCAGAGCATGACAAATTTTCCTCTACTGTTCTAAAAACCTTATTATCAATGACTTCGAACTTGAAACATTTCTCATAGTTTACGAAAACAGTTCGGTCACCAAAGCAAACCAAAATAAGGACTCATATGGACCTGATTCCAATGTTCACATAAAAATCTCACCAACACTCCCATGAAATAAGTATTATTTAAATCGTTTTTAAAATTCGATGATCGTTTCTGCTGAGGTCCATTGATAGTAAAACGATTTCCCACTACTCTTCTACGCATTATGTGCTCGTTATTTTTTCTCAATGGGGAAACGTAACGATTGAACGCAATAATGATGGTTTTTGCGCGGTTCGCAGTGAAGGAATGTGAGATTTTTTGTGAAATGTTTCCAAAAGATACAGGAATTTCTGTCATAGCGTGGACTGTGTGAAAACCATCGAAAACGATGACGTCACATTGTTCGGGCTCATGACTTTCCACTTCTTTCTCCAGAATATGCAGTAAAACGGATTTATCGGTTTTACATATTATTGTTCCTTCCAAGTGGCCAAACGCTAAAGGAAATGGACTAAGGGGTAAGTCAAAACTTTATCGATATTCAATGTTTTCTCCAACGATACTCTTTTCTACTGCATCTGCAAACGTAAGGATTTTATTCTTCTTCAACGCTCTCTCAAACCGAAGAGGATCTTGTGAACATTCTAAAATATACGCATCTTGCAGTTTTTTTCCGTTCTGTAAGTTCAGAATTGTCTTTGACATTCGATAAACAATCGTCAGTCAGCACGCGGCTGGTGGATTATTCGTCAGTCGAACTGCATAAGATGCAGCGCGCCAAAGAAACTTGGTCATTGCCCTCGACTTTGGAAATTTGACTGACGCAGAATCCACCACGATAGAGGTGGCTGACGTTCATTTTCATGCTTGATTTGATTCAAATAATCATTCTATAAAATTACAAGTGAAGATCGGTCATTTGAATTTTTCAACTTTTCCGACTGCTTCAAACCTCTGAGTGACGATGTTCCCCCCGTCGGAAGCGTGACTGACGAACATTTTCACATTTAATTATCAATAATTGACATTGTAACAAATTTTCATGTTCAGACTATTAACTTTTTTTTATAGTTTTTCCGATGAGTTCCACAGACTCCCACACTCACACCCACCGCTATTGGACTGACTGAGGCGCGGATCTCATATGTTTATGTGGAGAACTACGCACACTGAAAAATTCGTATGAAGATCGAACACTAGTCCAAAAGTGACACCACCTCCCGGACTATTCAGGGAATCTTTATTTTCGGACCCAAATGCGCATGCGTAGATGTCAAAATAAGGCTAATTTGAATACTGCTTGTCCTTATTGCACGTCCAATAACTCTCTAATGTCTTGACTGATTAGAGTCATGGCGAACCAAGCCGATCCAATCAGAACAACAAATGAAAAAATGGCGTACAGCTGGAGTATATCGTTATTCTTTTCTTTCATGCACAATGTAATAGGGAAAATTACTGAAACCAACTGAAGATTTCATAGAAAAAAGCAGAAAAATAGACATTGAGGCTGAAAACAGTAAATTTCATGGTGAAAACAGTGTAGAACAGGAGGTTGAGAGTGAAAACAGGAGTTCTCCTGTTAAAACAGGAGATCTGGTAACACTGCTCTCAGTGACCTTGTGCGGCATCACCTTGTGTTGCGTCGCTTGCTCTATTATACACGAAAATATCTGTTCCCCCCCCATCAACATTTATATTATATTCCGCTCCCAAATATACCTATACAAATCTGGGACCTTAGACCTTATACCTGCGACAAGTTATTTGGCTAATTTCACTTTCAAAATTTTGTGAGCATTTACCTTCACTTTTCACAAGTGAAGAAACCAAATACTGACTAATGTTAATTAATCGTTTAAAATAAATTGATATACTTATAAACAACCATAATATTAACATTGAAAAAAAAATCAAATTGTTTTTAAAATTCCCTAAAAATAAAAGTTATAAAATAATGAGTTTCATTGATATATTTCATAAATATCGATAATAATTCTTCTGCAGTTAAATATCAAGAATGTGATTAAAAATGTTGATGTGCAGCGCACTTTTTAACGTCGTCTGCCACGGCCTTAGCCCTCATTTTTTTGTCTGCCATTTTGTAAATGACTCTTTGAATGTTTAAACTTTAAAATACAATAATTGGAATTCGTGTACCTTTTGATTTTTTTTTAAATAAATTTTTGCATTCTTTATCGCGGTCTGCCGGCGAGTTAACCCCTCGCAAAATTTCTGCCAATTTTTTTACACTTTCTCAAATATGAAACCAAACTTTTTCCGTAAATAGAATCCCTGTACCTTATGAATTTTTTCCCACCCAAAATTCACCCCATTCACTACGTACCCCCTCTTCGCGCCCCAGTTTTGCAATGGCAGACATTCATATTTATATTCGCCTACACTGATACTATTATTTCCAATATAAATTAGCCATGTACCTGATGCGGGCACTTTTTATGTCGCCAGCTCTCCGCCTATTAAGAGGGGTTAAAAATAATTATAAAATAATAGTTATTTATACACCAAGTGAGTTAAATGAATGTTTACCCATGAGAAGAAAGTTTAAGTTACGATCCCTAGCGAGGGGGTTAATTATTTTCGAATGGTGCATACAATGCTTTATTTTCTACTGAATATAACGTTCTTTTATCAATTTAACCTTCACTACCTGTACTAACCTCATTATTTACCCATAATTATTGTTAAACCCCTTTTAGAACATCTATGGTTTAAAAGTCGCCATTTCTGGAATCGAATAATTTGGAACGTATTATATTATGCATATGTCGTTCTAAAATTCACGAAGTAACCGAAAAAACTAGACTGTATAAGTATAAAATTTGAGCAATTTCACATATGATGCAACTTCAAACGACTGTAACTCAAAAATGCGAATTTTTAGAACTTTGTGCCCATGGACACTTTTAATCTGTAGGCCAAGAACTAACAATATACAAAATTTCACGAGATTCCACTGAGGGCCAGTTCTCATAAGGTTTCTGCGGGGTCCTTTTTTGTCGTGTTATTTTTTGCGGTGTGCGTCAGGACCTCCTGACTGAACTCTGGTGTTTTTTCAATTCAATGTTCATTTTCTGCATGCATTTTAACAAAAACTGTGAAATTTGAAGAACCAAGACAAAATAAAACCAATTAAGTAGATCCCCTATCAGTTCCAGCAAGTACAAAACTGTATTTTTCATCAGCCGAGAATATCTGAAAAATTTCAGGGATCCAGCTCTTGAAAATGGTTTTTCTCTAGTAAACCTTCCAGAGAAATCCGACCCCCATAGCTTTGTTCCAACCCAGCAGAGAACCGTTCATTTTACCGCCAGGATTCTGCGCAAAACGTAAAATTTGTGCGTAGAATCCGAAATGTGTATACAGAATGGTTCCGAATAAGTTCTTGGGGCGGTTTTTTGCTAGGTTGGAAGTTGGAACAGTCCAAATAATGTCTAGAAGATCAAGATCGTCATTTGAAAACATATCGTCTTTAAGGAAGTCGAAATCATAATGCATTTTAATTTAATTTAGAATATTCAGTAAAAGCAATGGAACAATAAAAAGAAAAAACCAACAAATGGATTGAGGTTGAAAAGTACGAATAGTCTAATCGATGTTTTAATCACCAAAAATTGGACGTTTAGTTCAATCAATATTTAAGGTTTGCTAAACGTTGATTAGTGAACGGTGCAAGTCATTTTTCAAATTAAACAATGATTAATCATTTAAACGCTGTTTAAGCAAACGGTGCAATCGGCCATTAGAAAACTGTTTGTTGGCGATTTGCACCAATCAAAAACGCCCTGACTGGTTTATCTTCTTCTTGCTTCTTTTGATTTTTTTTGGCTACGTTCAACTTTCGTAATATACAAAGTAAAATGTTTTTTTTTTTTTTTTTGAATCTGCAGAAAAAAAAAATACATCAGATGGTTGTTCTTGATTTGATTGAAAATACAGCAAATATTAAGAATAGGCCCCTGTTCAGTCCTCGTTAGAACACCCTTTTGTACATTTTGCAGAAGTTACCTAGCCCTAGTTTTTTTTTTAAATAAGTTACTTGCAGGTTTCGCTTAAGGTAAAGGTTTCTTAAACGAGATCTAACTCCTCCACCCAAGGAAAATCAAATCAGATATAGGAACGTATGAATACTTTTCCAAATCGATAAATATTTAGATAAAACATAGGATAGATGAGAGGTAAATATGCCATAACAAATGATAGTAATATGTAAGTACTGTGGTACAAAGTCAACTAAAGTCTTAGTAAAGTCTGTTTTTTTTTTTAAAGATAATTCCCCAAGTCAAAAATTTAGTAACTAGGTATGTTGGCAACACAAGCCCTTTCTACATAAAAAATTTTAAGCTTTGACAATTTTACATTGTATTGCCAACATAATGTCATTTTGACTTTTATCTTTAAAAAAAAAAACAGACTTTATGTAATCCAGTTGGCAACCCCAAATAAATAGGAAAATTCGCATCAATTAAATACATACCTTTTGGGGGTGTCCAATGATGAATACCATAAGAAGTTTGCAATAAAAGATACTCAATATTGTTTGATACATATCGGAAAATCACAAAACCAGCAGCGACTTTTGGACTCATTTTGTCTTTTAATTAAATTATCAGCACAAATGCGTCATGAAAAATAAATAATTATATTATTTGTAAATAAAGAAATAAAAGTAAGGTTACAATAACTACAACTATCAATCAGCTGATTGCTATTATCGTGTTTATTTACATGTTTAGTTTAAATTGTTTGATTTTTAATTCAACTTTTCTTTCTCTGTTATGAAGATCCAAATCCTTTATGCAAAGCCTTGGCCTCAGTAAATGATATTGGCTTCAAAGCGAACCCTTCTAATCGAGGTTCGTGTTCCAAATCCCTCAACTTGTGAACCTTACTTTTTATTTTCTCGTGCAATTCATTTCGGTCCTCTTCTGCTTTTGCTATTTCTAAAACAAGAATACAACTTGATAAGATTTTATGTTGAGTGTACTGTGTACCTTTTCGAAGTATCGCTTTACACTCTTCAGTGGGTCGTTCTATATAAACAGCGCCAACTTGTATCCAACTATTTCGATCGAAAACACTTTCGAGGGCCCTCAAGGCTTCTCTGTATTTGTTTTGAGCATTGGACAATTCCAGTTTTTCTTCTTTTAACGTTAAAATATCTTGGCCTACAGTTTCAACTTCTTGCAAGTAGATGAAGGATTTTTGTTGCTCGATTTGCGGTAATTTAGCCATTAATACACCCAATTTGAAAAAAACTTTAATTCAACAAATAAATACTAAACGTAGAAAGTAAATTAAAAGTTTCGAATCAATGGGTCGAATAGAATAATAAATTTAAATTATCAGTCAGTCAGAACTCAGAACCAAACACTCAAACAAAAAAACCGAAAAGTTCAAACAGCAAAGAAGAGAAGTGATTTAGTAGGTCTGTTCGCACAACCAATGAAATTCGCTATGCTCTGACTGATTTCTGATTTCCGTGCGAACAGACCTAAGTAGTCTTCCATTGGCCGAAATGGTGCGGCACGAGTACAATGTCAACCATTGGTTATTTTAGTGCAGGTTTTTGAATCCAATTGGTGAAGTGGTACTACACTTTTTGCTCTGAGTGCAATCAGAGAATTTGTTGTTTGCGCTCCCATCACTTTTTCTCCGCCATCAAAGGAAAATGCGCGCTAATGCGTTCAAATTGTTGAAATCGAAAAAGGCCGTTCGCCGCTTTCTTTGCTGTTCGGTTTGTTGTTCGTCGTAAGGTCTGTGCCGGTATTCTCGTTCTCGAAAACGCTCACCGCTTTTTACTCGCTCGCTACTTTTAATGTAAATTCACATTAAAAGTGCCGAGCGACGAGCGACTAGAAAGCAATCAATTAGCACACCAGGGGTGGTATTCCGTTCACACTATCTAGTAGAAATGAATCGACTTTGTCGCTACAGGGATTCTGTTCAAGGGTTGCGCTGGAAAAAAGCTACTTTTCGCGTCAAATCGATCGCTCCGCTTCGATGTAGCAAGGGGTTTTGCCTGCATATGTAAAATCGCTGAACGGAATCGTTTTGCTCGAAAAAGTCGCTAGCGACATCACCATAATTCGATCGCATTTTAGCGTGAACGGAATGCGGCCCCAGAAAAATCACAAATATGTTCAAGTCTATGGGCGGCATGGGCGCGTTCACCAGATACAACAAACGTTAGTAAACACTTTACGATTGTTCGGCTGAACGCTACGTTGAATTTGTGATGAAACCAAATTTTGCAAACGGTCGCCATTTTTGCAAGTATCAAAGGTTTGTTTATTTGTGTCGCAATAGTTGTATTCCTTTCAAATGTTTGAAACACTCGAGCTACTCGCTTCGATGTTTAGTCGCTCCCGATTTGCAGGGAACAGATGCGTGGTGCAACAAACACTTTTCGAAAGGAATAAGCGCGTGAAGCCCCGGAGCTGTTCCGGAGCACCTCATAAGTGTGAAAGGAATACAACTATTCATAACAGATTATATAGGTTTTTTACGTTATATTTAGGATGACGTCAGAGGACAAGGACTGACAATGTTGTCAATAGAGAGTTATTGGAACTATTAAATACTGCCTCGCAGTATTAGGGATTTACCTTATTTTATTAGTGCATCAGCACTATTTTTCCAAAAAAAAAACAGTTATTGGAAGACTGTAGTAGGTGCTAGAGTATTATCTTATTTTGTATTCATAATTTTGACAGATGATAGCTATGTTTATAAATTTCAGCCTCAAAAAGTGTTTATTTTTGTTTGTGATTTTCTGCTGATACTCATTTTTTGATGTTACCCACAGTAAAATGGAAAACTATTGTAAAAAATAAATTTTCTAGGTAAAATTACGTCATCGTCGAAAAGTAGAACGTCAAAGTCGTCCAAAATGTCAGAAATTTGAAATAAGGGAAGTTTACTGCCTCGCACTAACCATACACAAATAAAGACAAGCAGTAACCTTATTAAGGGAATCCTTATTTTCGGACCCAAATGCGCATGCGTAGATGTCAAAATAAGGCTAATTTAAATACTGCTTGTCCTTATTGCACATCCAATAACTCTCTATTATAAGAAAACAAATAGGCATTAGAGAGTTATTGGATGTGAAAGTTTTGAATTTACTACGTTTGTGTCTGAACGTTCAATAAAAGTTTTCTACCCGTTGTTTTATCCATCAACTCACCGGCACAACAACACAACAAGAACAAGCCAACAGAAATTCTCTGATGACCAACAGCCAGACAACGTTGCCAACAGAACGGTGAATAAAACCAGAGTTGTTACAGACCAATTTTTGAATGTGTAGTTTGTTTTTCACATTGAAATTGTGTAGCATTTCAAGCAATTGTGCACCATAAGTTGTATTCCTTTCACACCTAGGAGGAGCTCCGGAACACCTCCGGGGCTTCACGCCCCTATTCCTTTCGAAAAGTGTTTGTTGCACCACGCATATATTCCCTGCAAATCGGGGGCGACTGGACACCGGAGCGAGTAGCTCGTGTGTTTCAAACTCTTGAAAGGAATACAACTATAAGTTGTATTCCTTTCAAGAGTTTGAAACACTCGAGCTACTCGCTCCGGTGTTCAGGAGCCCCCAATTTGCAGGGAACAGATGCGTGGTGCAACAAACACTTTTCGAAAGGAATAGGGGCGTGAAGCCCCGGAGCTGTTCCGGAGCTCCTCGTAGATGTAAAAGGAATACAACTATTGAGTGCACTGTCAATTTGACAATCGAATATGCATCTGACAGCAGACGCTCGCGACATGTTTTGCTTCGCGAGCACAACTTAACTTTAACCAAAAATTTTACAGCGGTTCACAGCAGATCGCTAGAAAACCTTTTAAGCCTAGCGCAAGAGGTTGCCTACTGGTATTGGGTAACTTGATGACGCATCTGAAGTGCCTTATAGAGATTTGCATTATGTTGAGGCACCTCAGATGACGTCATGAAGTTATCAGACAACCTTGAGCCTAGCGTAGCCACAGCACGAAATAAAGTTTTGTTTTTTTGAAAGATAAAAGTCAAAATGACATTATGTTGGCAATACAATGTAGAAAACTCTGACACTCAGCGCTTGCGAATCTTGCGACATCTTTTGTCACTTTGCGGAAGTGGCTAGATTCACTGCCGTTTCAAGAATTTTGAGTTACGGAATAGGTGCATCCATCCATTGTGTAGCATTTCTGCGCAGTTTATTAAAAAGTGTAGCAAACAGATGAAATTGGTCATTGGGGTGCACCGGTGTAATCGATAGTCCAATTGTGTAGCAAACTACACAATTGTATAGCTTGTAACAACCCTGAATAAAACAACATGCGTGTAGCAAACTATCGATATATCGATGATTACCATCGATAGTTTCCCACCTCCAGGGAACGGAACCGTTTTTTTTTTTGCGGACTGGGTACGAAACCCATATTTCATAGAAATGTTGTGGCAGGCAGAACCGGAACCGATATAAATTATTCGGTTCTTACCGGTATTTTTCGGTTTCAAGATTTCATAAGTAGCAAAGTAGGCTGTTTGCCATTTGGTCGTATCATGATAAAAACTAAAAACACTCTATAAAAAAACATAGCGTGGAGAGCGTGAATTTCTGAACTGCGCTAGGCTACACCAAGGAGATTACAGACCTCTATAGGATTGCTTATCGGCCCCGATTTTTGGAATCAAGTTTTTATGGTGTTGCACAGTTGGTGACGTCATCAACGGCGTTGTTAGTGGTTTGCACCAGCGGTCGTTGTTAGGAAGCAATATACATGTATGATAAAAGCCGCTTTCCAGCTGACCATTTTGAGCACGCAATAGAGCTTTTGTGCGCGCAAATGCTTCAAGCGCGTGTTCGTGTTCCTGTACTGCGCTTCAAGAGCTGCTAACTTTTGCGTTTCAAACACGGAACACTGTGCTGCACCTAGCTTGAAGCACACATCTGGAAAGCGGCTAATAAGTATTATTAATGATTGGTATGAACCGTTAAAGCCGAAATTATTGTTCCGAACCGAATCGATATATTTCTCTTATAGAACCGGAACCTTAACGTAACCGATATTTTTCATGATTCTGTAGACCGGAACCGGAATGGTCCGGATATTTCATTTTGTTCCGGGTCCCTGCTAAAAACTGCACCCGATTTATTAATTCATTAAATAACCACCTGAAAAGGTTTCACATGTTCGGCTTACAACGGAGCATTGCTCTCGGTGAGATTCGCGTGTTCGACTTGGAAAATAGAACGATCTTATTAGGCCCGTATTCATAGTCGATGCTCAAGGTTGCGTCTTGGCTCAAGTACGACTTGATGCCATATTTGCTATTCCAAACAACACGGAACGATGCTCACAACTGTCAAAAATCGGAGCTTGAGCCAAGCACCAGTCTATGAATACCGGGCTTAATATCGCAAGAAGCGCTCTTTCTTGTTCCGTAACATCCTATGGATCAAAACACCTCCTTGTCACGTCGCTCCGGTTTAAACTAACCGGGTTACAAAACGGTTAGGAGCGGTATGTCAAGTGATGACATCACTGAAAATGCCACTTGAGCGTTTTTTTTTATATATAGTGAAATTATTTAAATAGTGTATGCACGTGATCAATGACGTCGAAATTATTGCCAATTGCAGTTTGTAAGAAATTGAAATTCGTTTCAAGCAGCGTTGCCAGATTTTAATTTTGAAAAAGCGGGACAGCAAATAGAAAAAAATGTCGCTAAAAAAAGAGAACAATATAGGTTCATCCCCCCCTCCCATGGGGAAAAAAGTTATAATGGCTTCGTTCCAACACGTCAAGAAACCGTAATATTTACCGTCACGATTCTGAGCAAAGCTAAAAATGTGTGCGTAAAATTCGAAATTCGTATACAGAGTGGTTTTGAAACCGTTCACAGGATGGTTTTTGACGTGTTGGAACAAACTATATGTCCTTGCCCTTGGAACTTTTTGAATACAACAGGTCTGTTCCAACACGTCAAAAACCGTCCTATGAACGGTTTGGTAACCACTCTGTATGCGAATTTCGGATTCTACGAACAAATTTCAGAGTTTGCGCAAAATCGTGATGGTCTCCTGCTGTGTTGGATCAAAGCTGTTGTCAAATCCTAACTCACAAATGGCATCCCCCGCTAAAAAGGCCCCCACAGACTGCGTTTTTGTTTAACGGTTTTGTTCGACGAACAAATCTGGTCGAGGAAAAACGACGGATCGGAGTGCACACAGACCTCGGTTTAGTTT